ACAATAACCAGATGGGTGTTTCCCTATTCTTTTTAAACCACTATTTAAAACAGTCTGCCTAATCCTCAACCTGTTAATTCATATTTCTTCTCTCCTGTTCATGATACTGTCATTTCTCATGATTACCTCTTTTTGTAAATGAGGTAATCCTCTTTCCTCTAAATTCCATATATCCTGCCATGTATTATTTATCTTATTTTTAATAATTACTTTTATTTCTGCTCTACTTAGTGGGACTTTACATTCGATTTCTCTTGTCTTAACTGCTTCTTTAGCCAAAATGTCTACCATTAAATATGGTAGACATCTCATGATTACCTCTTTTTGTAAATGAGGTAATCCTCTTTCCTCTAAATTCCATATATCCTCCCATGTATTCTTTATCTTATTTTTAATAATTACTTTTATTTCTGCTCTACTTAGTGGGACTTTACATTCGATTTCTCTTGTCTTAACTGCTTCTTTAGCCAAAATGTCTACCATTAAATATTATTCTTCTTCTTTTATGGCGGTTGGCAAGCAACCTTATTCCTGGAAGGCTTTTGGGATTATAGGAAACGATTAGGGTCTTCCTTCCAAAAATAGCAGCATTGGGGTTTTATTTTTCTTTCTTTCTTGTTGTTGTTTTTTTTCTTTATTACCATCATATACAACAAACAAGGTATCTGCATCAGATGGACACAAATCTGAAAAACCTGAAGAAGTTGATCCGGGCTGCTTCCATACATACAGAAAGGACGAAAAAACAAAAAAACAAAAACAACAACAACATAAAAAACATTAGGGGTTTTCCAGCAGTTGCAAATTGTTTATCATACTATAAAGCTCTCCATCTTGTTCTTTGTCTATGAATTTTAGAGATAAGAAGAGATGGCAGAGTTCCTTGTGAAAGGTGAGGAAAGATGGTTTAGGCTTCAAGCAAATGACATTTATGAATGAAAAACTTGCTCATGATAATTATTATTACAATTATTATTAATTATTACATTTCGTGGCCTTACTGTAAATTAGCCAAAATGTAAATTATGTCAGAGCGTAAAATAAGTGTTTTTCAGAGTTCTGCCACCTCTTCACCACCAGCTGAGTGTATTTCTAACAATATTTAACCACGCAATTGGCCGTTCTCAATAATTCCACCTTGAAATTATTTTTCAAGGTGTTCAAAATGATTTTTGATTGGTCTCTGAGGGTCCACGTGAATTCTAACACTTCTTTGTCTTTGGATGCATCCTCCCGTCTGGGACAGGAGAGCACTGTGGTTCAGCCTTAAAGCTAACGAAACAACTATTTTGCCGTCCTAATATTTTACCCAGTTGGGGTCACTCTCTGAACTCCTTTCTGCATATTTCTCTCGACAATAGTAGCGGAGCCTGGTAAGATCATCTGGTTCAGATATGAAATAAATTTTATTATTATTATTGTTTCTTTGTCTTGTGACAAACATAAGTTATTTGCATGAGTAATTCAAAGACGGTCAGCTTTTCTATATATTGATCGTCTAATGGTGGAAAAAGCAACAACAACAACAAAAAAAATAAAGATAGTATGCTCTAGACTTAAGATGGAGCACATGCTCACATATTCATGATGCGCTTTGATTAAACTAATTTATCTTCGGTGTAATTACAGAAGTCAAAAATCAACTTTATACCAGGTGAGTCTCTCTCGCCTGAGAATGTGAACCTGTACTGGGCTGATTCTGCCTTCAAATAATTGTAACAATCCTCTTGGAGAAGATTCATAAGTTAGAAATTAAAAGTCTGAAACAGGAACAGGTCTGTGAAAACAGCCTGTGTGTTTCACTCAGGAGAGAGATTCATTTGATGTATCAAAGAGTGATGTCATCAAAGACTGACGTCATCACTGCTGATGTCATTGTTACCAGTGGAACTGAACATTCTACTGGTTCATTCACATCAAACACGTTTTGAGCATCAGGAAAGTCTGGTTTACATTCAAAGTCTATGTGGAGAGTTGGATGCGCTTGATGTGTCAAACGCTCCAAACGGTTCAAATCGCGCCGCGCTAGACGCTCGAAGCGTCTCCACATAGACATTGAATGCAAACCAGACGCGCCTGACACTCAAAACGCATTTGGTGTGAATGCACCTTTATATGTCCAGTGTCACTTTAGGTCAGTGTTTCTCAATCCCAGTCCTCAGCCCCCCCTGCTCTGCATGTTTTAGATGCATCTCTATTTCAGAACAGCTGATCCAAATGATTGCATGACCTCTTCTGCAGTCATCAAGTACTGCAGAACCCTGTTAATCACACACAGATTCAATCCAGGTGTGTGGCAGAAGGAGATCACCTAAAACATGCAGGACAGGGGATCCACCTGAGGAGGGCATTGAGAAACACTGCATTAGTTCCATCATATTAGGACCAAACCTGGCTAATATGATGGACTCATTGATTTGGGTCAGGGGTAACGTTTAGAGGTAAGATCCAAATTAAGTTTTAGTCAATGTTAGGGTTAGGAATAGACTAGTATTGGTTAGGGTTAGGGAAAATGTGTGGGTTGGGCAAAATTGCAGCTACTAAAATGAAGGGAAATCAATTCAAAGTTCTAATATGGGTTGAAATAATTTTGACAAACTTATTTTATAAATCATTCTATGAATAATCAGAGATGATATAATGTTAGGTTGTACTTCTGCCAATTGCATAGCTGCAGTAGACTAATAGTCTAATGTGTTGAATGTGCTGAGACACATTCAACACATTAGAAACCAATCAGAACCAAAAGTTTGTCTTTTGGTTCTGATTGGTCGTTTCTGGACAGTAGCAGAGCCAGAGAACTTTTCACAGATTCTCTGGATCATATTCTACTGTCAGACACTTTTAACAAATATTCATTCATCCATCATCTAACACACTTATCCTTGCACACACACATTCACACCTTAAGACAATTTAGAGAGACCAATGAATCAATTAATTACTGCAGAGTTTTATCCAAACCTGGGTTTGGATAGTGACCCAGGTTAGTTCCAGCCGGGTGTGGGTCGGCGTAAAGGCCGAGCCGGACATAGCTTACCCTTCCTGCCAATGCTATGCAGGCCCTCCATGCAACTTGTGGAGGTTGGTTGCCTGGACGTCTGTTTTTCCTCAGGCCTCCATGTTTGTGTGGAGGTCTGGCTTTGCGTGAACTCCTCTCTTTGCAACCTGGATGTGGGTCGGTGCAAAGGCTGAGCCAGGCTATGGATGGAGACCCCTGGATGATTCAAGGTCTCTCTTTCCTTGGACTCCTCCAGTTGCAGGGGGGCCTCTGGTTGGTGGAGACTCTTGGATGATTGTTTTCCATAGCGAGTTTTAACTTCAGCTTCAGGTCTGCAACCTGACCCTGCAACAATTTCACTGTTTCCTCCTGTTCTACAAATTTAGCAGCTTGCTCAGCATGTCTCTTGAGCTGCTCCTCATATTTCAGTCTCACCCTATATTCTTCAACCATTACTTCTATCAGTCCTTTGTTATGGGAGGCGTGTTTTACAGCCTCCCTCTTGAAGTAATCTAGTTGTTGAAGAAGGCTCTTATCAGCTGTAACTTTGGAAGAGCCTCCTGTAGTTTCTGGCACGTTTCTGTCATGATCTCGTTTGACTTGCTGGTGACGTTCTTTTTCTAACATGCTCTGCAGTCTTTGAATCTCCTGCTGCTGTGATTTCACTTCAGCCTCACATGCAATCCTTCGGTCTCGTTCTTCTTGGAGGTCAAAGGTCTTACTCTGTAACTCCTTTTTAAGATCGTCAACCTGCTTTGTCAGATCAGTGACGTGTCGGCTTGTCTTGTCCACGACTTCCACTGAGGGGGTGATCTCGAAGCCAGCAGACCGAGTTGTTTTCTGCTCGACTTCTGAAGATGTTGGATTCTCAAAGTGGCCGGAAGGACTTGATTCCCCCTGGATCTCTGATGGTACATCTTCCGGCTCAATGGGGCTGTCGCTGTCTTCCTCAAAAGAGGAAAACGACAGCGTCGTAGTCGACTTGGACGTTAAGGTCCATTATGTCGACCCATGAAAGCTTGGCTGGAAAAGCTTCATGGTTACATGCAATCTGTTGTTGCTTCATGTCGATGAAAGGCGTGCAATATCTACAGTAGATATCCCGCTTGTTTCAATGACTTTCGAACGTGCTGTGAAGAGTGATCTGCTGCAGTAGAACTGTGGAACAGGTCTGACAAAACGCTTTCTGTGAGCTGCATTCAAGAGAGATTCCTTTGTGGCGTCATAGAGTTATGACATCACTGCTAAGGTCATTAGAAAAACATTCTTTTCCTATGGGAGTTGATAAGCAACCAGTCCTAAAGTTCTGCCATCTGCTGGCCTCGCTTGGAAGTGCTTTTCTATATAAAATTACTGCGATGCTTTTTATCATCTGTTGAAAAAAGGCTGAAAAATTCTGATGCTTTTCTTAGAATTCTAAAATATATTTTGTTTTTCTCCACAGTAACCCTAATATTCTTTTGCACCATCTGACAACATAAAATAGACTGAAAAATCTCAAAAGTCAACACATCACTCCCTTATCTAAAGGCGATGGAATCAAAATTAGGAAATAAATCTAAATCAAAATTTGTGAAGTAATTTCTAACTGAATTAAGGTCACTTTGGAGTGAACCAAGCTTCCTCCAGAGTGACGTAAAAGACACACATATATTTATTTAATCAGAGAAATTGTCATTTAAAAACTAAATTTGATTTTTACTCATACCGTCTATCACGTGTTGAAATGCATTTGATGATGTGAAAAATGTGACTGTGACAAAAACGACAGCCACCAACAGAAGGAATTTGGGAGTTAGTGTGTTTTTCACGAGAACAATAATCAATGGGTTTGAACGAAAGAGAAATAATTTCTCCAAAGCCTACTTAGTCGTCATCGTGCTTGCAAAAATCTCCTATTTATGAAACAAAAAAAAAGAAAAAAAATGTTTTGTTTCAATGCATGGAGTTACTAAAGAAATGTGTGTATGCCCGGACTGTGTATGTGTGTGTGTTTAAGAGAGCAAGAGAACGCAGGCGGATGAGAGAGAAAGGAAGGGGGAAAAAGAAGAGAGGCTTTCCTGCGAAGTTACAGTTCCTCCTCTGACAGTTTGCAGAATGATTGATCTGTGATGGTGGCTTCACCCTGGAATATCTTCTTTTGAGGAAACGGTTGTAAGTACAATTTATTCCCTTGGAATTGCCTACAGAACAGCTGTAGTTAGTGGGCTTGGCCCTGAATGTTAATCTCTTGAGGGTGGCAATTTTAGCCTGAAGAGATCAAGGCTTAGTTAGAGTTAGGGTTAGGGTTTAGTCTGACACAATCTTTATGATACAGCACAGCGTGCCTTACGGATGTCAGTTTTCTAATTGCATGTTGTTAAAAACTTTGTGAGCAGAAAATCACCCAATATTTCCACATGAAATATCGTATTATTTCTGTGCGTACACGACCGGTGACATATACAAAGAGAAGAGGAGCCCAGCTCACTCACGGAGCTGTCAGGATCTATTTCATCTGCTTCTTAAATGTGGGCAAAATGGAGATAAATAATAGATTAACTTCACTCCCATTTGCAAGTTGTCTACTCATCGCTAACAGCTGAGAAACCTCAGCTATTGATCTGAAATACGGTCTCCGTCGTTTGATCTAGACTCAGCGGCGTGTCGAGATCTTCATTCCCCTCTTGTCAGCTTCCTTGATTCAACTTGCGGGAATATTAATCTTACGCGACACACTCAATGCAAACATTGCATTTCTTTGTGTATCCAGTGGTTGCAAATCTACAGCACTTTACAACAGTATTCATGCCCACTTTTTCTAGTTTTACTTTTTACATTTTGTCGTACTAGAACCAGATCTTTGTCTATATTAGAATTTTAGCAGCAAATAGTATGTGTTCTTCAAAGGTTTGCCGTGCATTTTGGTTTTCATTCTCAAGTTGTAATTGAAAGATACTGTATTTATTCTCTGCACTCGTAACTCACGCTATAAGTATTTTCAAAGAGTTGTTGTGGACGGTGATGCTTTGGGCAGGAACTAATCCCAGTTGTAGTCTTTTGATGCTAACCGCTCAGTTTTCACTTCAAATCCCAATAAGACGCATGAATCAAGTGTGAACATTTTTATACTTCCCACTCCCTCGTTGCCCTCCAACAGAACAAGGCCGATTGTTTCTCTGACTGAACGTTTCAATGGAGGACAAGCAGATTTTCAGAGGGATGCCTGGAGACGGGAAGGGAGAAGAGGACAAGCTGCTGATGACCCAGAGTTCACAAACCGCGGCCTCAGAGTCGGACGCTGAAGCTGCGGATGGAACGGGTACGTTTAACAGGAGTGTGTGACAAACTTTACAGTGAAAAATGGAACAACGGTGTCTCATCTTCCAGGATCTTTTACTGAAGTCAACAGCATGTCAGAACTGTCTCCACCTGAAGTCTCTGTGATCGTACCACCAACTCAGACGAGAAGTAAGACCATCATCATGGTTCATGGCTCGGCCTTTCTGCTGCTGATTGTTGGTTTTGCTCTTTTACACAGAGGCGACCGCTTTGAAACATGATGTGCAGATTCACTTCAAGGGCGGATCGGCCACAGCTGTGTACATCTGCGCCCCGTGCTCTGTGGAGCGACACCAGCCGAAACCTTTGCATTCCCTGCTGCCGCCCTTCACGGAGATCCACAAACTCCCGGACGTGAGCCGAACACAGACCAAACCCAGAGGTCAAGACAGCCTCAAAACCTCGTCAGCTCACACCGAGGCAGATGGAAGTGGTAAGGCAGCTGGGTGTTTTTTGTAAAAAAAAAAAAAAAAAAGAAGTTTATTGGTATTTGATTATAAGAAAATGTATGCTATTTTATATTAATCACATCAAATTTTATTTTACTCCCACAGTTCTTATGGTTATGTGCATTAGGGTCCTCCATAGAAAGGCTGCTGGTCGCTGCCTTTGGCCTTTTCTGTGTCAGGAACTTTTCCATTTCTTGCTTGCTGGTCAAGTTTAATCTAGCAGCGTGATGCCAGTCAGAAATAAAAAATTGTTTTAACTTATATTTAATTTAAAACTTAATTATGATAAAAACGCTGAAGTTAAAAAACTTTAGAAAATGTGATACTTTTTATTTTTGCTTTTTTTCTCTTACCCTCCAACTTTCTGAGGCCCCCCACAGTGCCCCCTAGTGGCACCACTGTTGAAGAACAGTATTATAGAATACCAACATGGAAAACACACTCCTGAATAAGTCGTGGGCCTCCTAAAGTTTTATGTAGAAGTCTCAATCCGCACCGTTTTCTTTTAGCTCGTATCTCATTTTTTCTTTTTCTTTTACTTTGTCTCCCTCATCTCGAGACCTGTGTGCCGCCATCCTGCTGGGCTGCCTTTTCTGCCGGCCCGTGGACTGTCTAACGGAGACCTTCCGAGGATGCACCGCGTGCTTCTGCTCGCTGTGCTCGTCGCTGTTCGGCTGCGAGCCCGGCGCCCTGCGGCCTCTCCTGGACCTCACGCCGCCCTGCGGCCCGTGCGCCGGCGCGCGCCTCCTCCTCTGCGACTGCACCGGCTGCGACGTCTGCCTCCCGGCCGCGGAGTGCCTGGACTGCGCCATGGAAATCTCTCAAATGCTCTACCACTGACGCGTCGAAACAGGAGGCGGACACGAGTTGAAGAAAGTCGTTTTATTTGTTAAAATTTTTAAACAAAAGCCAGATTACTGGGAGGGGGACAAAACGCACGTGTTTTGTGTTTAACAGTCAGTTTTAACTTTCACACATACACCAGAGCAGAACATGTGGAAGGTAATAGTTGCATATATGCAAAAAAAAAAAAATAAAAAATCACGAGAGGAGAGGAAGTGTGCTTTGGTGTGGAGCACCTTTAAATAGACCTGGCTCCAACTTTTGAGCTGCAAGCCTCCTGCTCATCAGAAAAAAGTAAGTCGGTGTTAGAAAAATAACTCAAATTTAAGTACAATTCTTAATATTTGCGGCACCTACTTTACTGCAGAGTTGACCTGCAGGTTCCTCTTAATCGTCCATTTTTCTAATCAGTTCTGAGGTGAAACTGGTAGTTGTTGTTTTTTAAAGAGAGTCAAAGCCCTCTGCAGAACATACAACTAGCAATATTAAAGCATGATCAGAAATGATAACGCAAAGTAAAACAATCGGAGTAAAACATGCCAACTGGTGGAAGTCATTCAGTGATCATAGAAGGTTAAAAGAAAAAAACAAAAACAGATATTAGTTATGAAAAAGCATTTGTCAAACTATCAGGTATATATATCTATATATATAAAAAAGTTATGAGCTACAGTACTGTTGGAAAATTGTTCTCTTCTCAGACACTCATGCGTTTACCAAGTCAATCAACTCAAAAAACAACAACAAAAAAACGTGGAAGAAATCCTGCTTTGGCTAAACCAGAAGCTTGTACGGCTTTATCACCATGAGAACATGCGACGGGGCCTAGAAGCAGTCACTGGCTGCAAAGTATTAAACAAACAAACAAAACAATCTCTCATAAAATGCATAGACTGCCTTAAAGTAAGGTGCAATAAAATTGCTCAAAATAAAATACTCTTATGTACAAAATGCAGTAAATATTTCACAATGTGCCAATTCATAAAAGATCCCTTCTGTAGCTGCTGGTGAGACAACCAGCAGGAGCGAACGACGAACCCTGATTCCAGTCAGTTGAAGAAACAAAAATTTAAATGAAAAGTTAGACTGAATTGTTGGCATCTCTTAGTATGTTTGCTATGCCGGGGAATCCACAGCTTTTCTCATCATAAGAATAAATTTAGAAGAAAATAAAAGCAAGATGTCCCTTTTAAGTCTGAATTGGTCTTGAAAACTGCTGAATTTCTTAATGCTAAAGGTCCACTTCACTAATATATAATATTCCATTTAATAAGATTGCATTTATAAACCTAGACAATCATTTGAGCTGTTCCCAATAGGAACAATATGTATGGCAAAAAAAAAAAAAAAAAAAAAAAAAAAAATTCAATAACTAATCTGATTCAATATTAAGTTAGTTTTCCATGATAGCTTTGAACTTTTTTTTTTCAGTCCTATAAATAGACGTAAGTTATTAGGGATGGAACTGCACTTCCCAGATCATCTCTGATCGCTATGAAAACCTGTCACAAGTCCTCGTCCATTTCAAGGCTGCTCCTGCGGCTGCTGGTTTTAGAGGCACCTGGTGACAGTGGGGAGAACAGTGGCTCGCCCATCCTCTCCGGGGACAGGGCGCACCCGTCGTCCATGAGAATGTCCCCCAGGCCCACGTCCGGGTAGAGCGCCGAGGAGGCGGGGTCGTCCAGCTCGGCGAAGCTCAGGCTGCCGAGGTCCAGCGGGCTGCTGATGGTAACGCCGGCGGGGGAGTCGGAGGAGGGCGGGGAGAGGAAGGAGGCCGGCAGCGGTTGTGCTATGGCGCTCAGAGCCGACAGGTCCAGGGTGGTGGCGGCGCCGGGGTTCTGGGCGCCGTGGGGCGCCGCCGCCTGCTGCTGCTGGGAAGCTGGCAGTCCGTGGAGCCGTGCCTGCATTTCAAGTTCCTGAAGAAATGTATGCGAGAACGACACTGTGAGGAATAAATCCACTTCTAGTTTCAAAAAAACGGAAAGTTTGATAGATGTTTTAGGACTGTAAAGTACAACTCCTTACAAAAGTACAATTACAAATAAAAATTCACAACCTGTGGCTTCATTTCTATCCAAACAGTGTGGGATCAGCTTCCACTTAACTTATGGCTGCCAAGTCTCAGTGTTCATTTAACTGAAGGCTTTGCACATTTATCTTTGCAAAATAACTCAACCTCTGATATGGCTGAAAAACCTATTTTCTATATCAATAATTATTGAATCGTCTTTTTGTATACAATATCTAAATGCTTCCAAAATAGTGACATGTCGTTTTGTGTCTTTTCCACATTTTTTAAAATTTATTTTGAAGCCGTTACGAGCGACTGCTGCTGAGCAAGTTACAGAATAAGTTACGTTTTATTGATATAGTACATTTTCAGTAACAAGGCAATACAAAGTGCTTAGTGAGGTGATGTCACCAACCTATAGCAATAGCTAACAGGTTAGCTACCTTTCCTCTGCGTCCCTCTCCCAGAATGCTGTGCAGCTCTGAATCAGAGTTCAGTGAATATTCTGTATATTGAACACTGAAAATCAGTCAGTTCTAATAACTATTGATATCAATCACGTATCTATAGCGACATATATTGTCATTTATTTCTTGCCCTACTCTGACAACAGAGGCAGAGTGGCTCTGCAATTCTCAATGGGATTTAGGTTTGGATTTGACTAGGCTCCCAACAGATGCACATATTTTGACCCAAAACATTTCACTGCAGCTCTGGCTGCACGTCTAGTGCACCCGTCCTGCCGGAAGGTGGACCTCTGCACTGGTCTTAAATCTGTCCCGTCTCTGCACGGTGCTGCCACCGTCAGGTTTCACCAAAACGAGCGCGTGTGTACAAGTGTGCAACAGTGAACGCTTTAAAGAACGCAAACTCAGACCTGGATGCGTAACATTAGCATGTGGTTGGCTTGCTCCAGCTTCTTCTGGCGCATTTCGACATCCTTGGCTCTCTGCTGCTCCTTCTGCAGCTTCCGGATGTAGTCCACAGAGGCCTTCAGGATGGTGCCTTTATTCCAACGCGTCTCCCTGTCAGGCCCAAATAAAGAAACAAAAACAAACAATAATGTAAATGCAGTTGCACGAGTCACAACTGTAATTGAGAAAGGGCGAGAAGTTGTTCTCTTTAGCAACTTACGGGTCACTCGACTTGGGGATCAGAGTACCCAGCTCCTTTATTCGGTCGTTTATGTTGAATCTTCGCCTCCGCTCGACTGCAGCGACCGCAAAGGAAGAGTTAAGCAGCTGTCAGTTATTTCGACGATTAATCAGGTTTAAAAAAAACAAACAAAAACTGGCACATTCTGCAGATTTTTCACGAAAAACAAATACATTGAAAATGCAGATAAAGAAATTATCCAATTTCTTTTTGCAAACAGGAAAATAAACATTTGATTGCATTAATGTACCGTTCCATTACCTGAGTTTGATCATGTGTTGCATGTGGAGCTAAAATAGTACTTCTAACATTAAGATGAAAAAAACTGAAGAGTTCTGGGTGGAGCATTTTTAAAGGAAAAGTTTTTTTTTTTTTTTCATATCTTAAATGCAAAACAGTTTTGGCTTAATTATTGCTTTGACTGTGTGTGTGTGTGTTTTTTTTTCTCCAGAAAATATCCTGTTTTAAAAGTCTGTTTACTCCAGCTAACTATTAACTGATCGCTAAATTAGTTGATGATTATTTCATCAGTCATTCCAGCCCACCTCTGATTCAAATAGATTCACTTACTGAGGTTATGGTTGTCTTTCTTCTGCCTCTCCTTCAACAATGCTTTGGCATCGGCGTCTGGAAGAGGAGTTCAGCAGTGGAGTCGGACACATTAAATAAAAGTTTCATTACAACGCAGACAGGAATTAATGCAAGCAGGTTCTGTACCGGTAATTTCCCTTTTGATCTGTGGAAGGTCAGCAGGGCAGGAGTTGCTGACGGTGAGAGTCGGAGCTGCCATTCCAGGGCTGTGGTAAACGTCCAGCAGGTTTCCCGGGAGCTACAGTAACGGCAAACATGTTACCATGCATGCAGTGAATAGTCGGGGGGGGGGAAGAGAAATATCTATTGAACCAACGACACGTAAGGAACTTCAAAATGAAACTGCTGTTCAATTTGAAAGCTGCTCTTCATTGCAGGAGTTTTTAAAGTTTAGAGAGCATTTACCTCGGCTTGATTCCTTTTCTGGTTCTCCAAAAGCATCACCATAAGCCTCATTATTCAATTTATCCCACAAGTTTCTCCCTCGGCCCCAGTTATCAGCTAACCTGCTGCTGCTGCATTTTTAACAGTCGACACAAATCTGCTTTGACTTGCCTCCCCCCGTCGGGCCGGCCTGTGACGGCTCTGGTCTGCCCAGGCGGCGCTTCTGTGATGACTTGTAAGCGAGTGCCACAAATGTATGTTTACTCCCACAGCTTCTGAATTCCACACGTAAAAGAGAGCATTCCCTTTGCGGAAAAAGCCCTCAGGAGCCAGGTTCTGATGGCTGCGATACCGCGACAACCAGAATAACCTGTCGGTCCTGAGGGAAATGTCGAACAGGAACAAACGGCATTGTTCTTCATACCGTGCTGGGCAGCTGAAGACCTGAGTCGATCAAGGTGATGATGTCGTCGTTGAAGCTGGATTCGAGACTGATGATGTCGTCGATCACATCATCGATCTGGACGAGAAGAGAGAGAGAAAGAAAAGGCCTCCGTCAGATTCATTCCGGGAGCAAAACGGCGACGGCACAAAGCGGAGCTCGGCTTCACAGACGGAGCTGCGTGGTTCTGTTCAGCTGCAGGTGCAACATTTAACATCCTATTGTTACAAAAGAGCGACGAGAATGCGACAAGAGAAGGCATGCTCCGAGCAAACACAGCCTTTAAACTAGAAACCAGCCGGGCGACCTGCAATTAACTTCCTCAAAACACATTCGGCGAATCTGCAGAAACTATAACGGATGGGCGGCGTTGTGCAATCCGCTGCGGGAGGAATAAAAACGAAACCCAGAGTGAAAACCTTAG